CTATTCTATGTATCTTAGTGTAGTCTACTTGTGTGCCAAGTTATACTGAAATCAGACAAAAACTGTAGAAGGAGTAGCGTTTTTAAGGAATTTTACAGAAAATTCTATTTTTAGTAACCATGGCAACAGCATTTATCGAAATCAAAAACCGATGCACTATTCTATGTATCTTAGTGTAGTCTACTTGTCTGCCAAGTTATATTGAAATCAGACAAAAACTGTAGAAGGAGTAGCGTTTTTAAGGAATTTCACAGAAAATTCTATTTTTAGTAACCATGGCAACACCATTCATCGAAATCAAAAACCAATGCACTATTCTATGTATCTTAGTGTAGTCTACTTGTGTGCCAAGTTATATTGAAATCAGACAAAAACTGTAGAAGGAGTAGCATTTTAAAGGAATTTCACAGAAAATTCTATTTTTAGTAACCATGGCAACATCTTTCATCGAAATCAAAAACCGATGCACTATTCTATGTATCTAAGTGTAGTCTACTTGTGTACCAAGTTATACTGAAATCAGACAAAAACTGTAGAAGGAGTAGCGTTTTTAAGGAATTTCAAAGAAAATTCTTTTTTTAGTAACCATGGCAACACCGTTCATCGAAATCAAAAACCAATGCACTATTCTATGTATCTTAGTGTAGTCTACTTGTGTACCAAGTTATACTGAAATCAGACAAAAACTGTAGAAGGAGTAGCGTTTTTAAGGAATTTTACAGAAAATTCTATTTTTAGTAACCATGGCAACACCGTTCATCGAAATCAAAAACCGATGCACTATTCTATGTATCTTAGTGTAGTCTACTTGTGTGCCAAGTTATATTGAAATCAGACAAAAACTGTAGAAGGAGTAGCGTTTTAAAGGAATTTCACAGAAAATTCTATTTTTAGTAACCATGGCAACACCGTTCATCGAAATCAAAAATCGATGAACTATTCTATGTATCTAAGTGTAGTCTACTTGTGTGCCAAGTTATATTGAAATCAGACAAAAACTGTAGAAGGAGTAGCGTTTTTAAGGAATTTCACAGAAAATTCTATTTCTAGTAACCATGGCAACACCGTTCATCGAAATCAAAAACCGATGCACTATTCTATGTATCTTAGTGTAGTCTACTTGTGAGCCAAGTTATACTGAAATCAAACTAAAATTGTAGGAGGAGTAGCGTTTTGAAAAATTGTTTAACCATGGCAACACGGAAATCAAAAACCGATGCACTATTCTATGTATCTTAGTGTAGTCTACTTGTGAGCCAAGATACTGAAATCAAACTAAAATTGTACTATCGCATAAGCTCTTCTGGTCTCTGACCAGTAGAGCTAAAAAATAAGTATTTTCTTGATTTAACACTTTTTTAATAAGGACAGTGCAATACTCTTACATTATTTGGGATGCTTAAATGAATAGTAAAAAGACACATTTTTTTTTTTAAATTTCACTTAAATTAAAGGTCACAGTGACCTTGAAATAGGTCGCGACACACCTTCTACCTAAGATGCATAAACTGGCCAATTTTGATGATTGTAAGTCTTACAGTTTTCTAGTTATGGGCCGGAAAGGATTTTTCCATATTTGGCTATAACTTTTTAATAAAAGGTCAGAGAGACCTACTTTTTGTGCACGACACACCTTCTACCCAAGATGCATCAGATGACAAAGTTTGATAATCCTAGGCCTAATAGTATTAAAGTTATGAGCCGGAAACGAAAAAGCTAACAGACAGACAGACAGACGGACGGACAAGAAACCTATAACATAATACGTCCCGTCTTAAGACGGGCGTATAAAAATATAACTATTCCTGCTTTTTTTTTCTATTCTTAGTAATTAGAAATGTACATTGTTTCTTATCTTTAAAATTGTAGATCTCTCGTTTAAACATTTACTTCAGAAGAGAAATATCAGTAAACAAAAAAAAAAAATAAATAAAATTTTTTTTAAAAATAATTAAAAAAAATAATAACTCAAAGGGAATAAAAGACTTGTTATTTTTTTGTTTTCTTTTTTTCTTATATAAATCTTTATTCTGAATTCTGAATTTCGATACGAAAATCATAAGTAGTAAGTAGTAATCGCAGGGATCAGAGTATTTGCCAATTTAAACTGTCTAAAACTTCTTACCTAATCAATGACAATATGCTCGTTTAATTCTTGTAATCACAGAAGTCCACGGAATTACAATGTTCAAAACCCAAAACGGGCGAACAGAAAATTATTTGACAGCTCTAAAAATCGCAGGGATCAGAGTATTTGCAGATTTAAACTGTCTAAAACTTCTTACCTAATCAATGACAATATGATATTATTAACCTGTATCATTTATCAAAGGAAATTAAACTTTAATATATAGACGGAAGGGGGGGGGGGTAATACCTTATCTAAAACACTTGTATTTCAGGCGAAACATTATTAGATAAATTTAAGAATATATTAAACATTTCAGCTAGTTTATTTGTACAACAACTGCATGTTTTTCTTTACTATAACTACAGGTGACTTGATCTGAAAGATGCGAAAGGTGTGTATATGCCTGCAGCCAGAATATATTTACCAGTTGAAACTCATTATAAATCAAATAATAAAAAAAAAATAAAAATCTAGTTTTGAATATGCAGCTCAAAACACATATCAGTAACGCCAGAATTCGTTGCTTAATAAAAAATCCTTTACGTATGGAAAGGAGGGGGTTTTGATTCAAGTTGGCATCTACATTGTTCCCTACCTCAGTATATTTCTCTCATCATGACGAAAGTTATCCCCATCACCTTCTACCCTTCACACGTTTTACATTTTGGTGCCAAATGGTTATTTTATCTTTCAGGGAGAGAGAGAGAGAGAGAGAGAGTTTATGCCCATTGAATATTTATTGAACTTCCCACACCTTTCTCATGAAATACAGTTTTAAGTTTAAACAGCTTTTCTTTATTTCTTTTCTTTCTTTTGTTTTTGTTTTTTTTAATTTCTTCATTTAATTTTTTTTGCTCGTTTAAGTTTTCACGCAATGATTGATTTTGATTAATGAACACTTTTGAACAAGTGGACGAGACTCATCCCCCCCCCCCCTCTTTCCGTCTATATATTAAAGTTTAATTTCATTTGATAAATGATACAGGTTAATAATATCATATTGTCAGTGATTAGGTAAGAAGTTTTAGACAGTTTAAATTGGCAAATACTCTGATCCCTGTGATTTTTAGAGCTGTCAAATAATTTTCTGTCCACCCATTTTGGGTTTTGGACGTTGTAATTCTGGGGACTTCCGTGATTACAAGAATTAAACGAGCGAAAAATGCCAAAAATAATTATTTAAAAATATAACTTAAATGAAAAGTTTATACCTGAGGATTTTTATCATTGTATAAGAATTATTTGCAGAGATGGGGATGCGTAATTTAGCTGGTAAGCGGCGCATATAACTTTTAAAAGGAAAAAATCGAGTCTGGGGCATGGAAAGGGGCAAATGAAGTTGCAAACCTTGTTTCTTTTTAGTATACAGTGGGATATGTCATTTTTAAAGCGTGCATAAAATCGAATTTCCATGACATTCCAGTGTATATGAAGCAGACAGGTTTACAAAAAACTAAAAATTAACACTGCCCACTGAAAAAAATTGTTAACGAGTATAGTTCTAATTTCTTCGACAATACATTATACAGAAAAAATACAGTATCCTTGACCCAAGCGCCTATGATCAATGCCAAGAAAAGGAAGAAGGTCTAGAATTGGATGAAAACGTTTGACATTGTCTGTAAAAGAACAGGTGCTCACAATTTTATCTATAAAGTCAATAGAAATCACTCGATTGACAAAGCCATGAAGCATGAGTTATCTTGCATCTCTATACTTTTGTTTTCCGTTATCGCGTGAAATCCAGTTTATTCAAAGAAAGATAGGAACTAGTTTTAGATCTGGATTTAAAATATTTTATATGTATTAAAATTATGCAATTTCTTCAAAAGCAAGGATACCTATGAATTTAATTCTAAATGTGTTTGTTGATCAAATTTTAATTTGAAAATGCATAATAGGTGTTTTTATTCACCTTTCCTGAAAATTTATTTGAAATTTACTAAATTTCCCTATATATAAACTTTAAAGATGAAGTTTGAAGAATTATGGTGGGTAAAACAGTTGATACCTAAGGAGATTTCATGACCAGTGGCTCCAAAATGGATACACAAGCAAACCAAAAAATACTTTTGTAGAAAAGCGGTAGATTTACAAATAAAAGCGGTAGGCGGGAGATGGATTGAAAAAGCGGTAGACTCCCGCTGAAATTGGTAGAGTTTGCATGTATGATTTCATACCATATTAATAGAGATTGGTATTTATGATTAAATTTTAAAAATACTCATTTTCTTTCAATATGTAATTTTAAAACACTTTCATGGGATAAAAATTTAGACTTTCTATAAGACCTTTCTGAGAACTTCAAAGAACCTTAAGATCAGATGACACATTCCTCAAATTGATGTTTTGTATCTCTTGATTTTATATTAAAAAAATGTTCATATTTGTCATTCTCTTCTGATTTCTACATTGTTTTCAAAATGTTTTTAAATATATAGTACACCAAAAATGGTGATATACGCCATTCAGAATATTACCCATAAGGGTTATATAAGAAATATGACCCTGTAGTATCTTGTCCAAACGTCTGGTAAGGTACCCTAATTTTTTGTGAGGAATCTTGTTAAATACCTATTCTTAAATGACAAATTCTTAGGAAAAATTATATATTTTTGAGAATTTAATCATAAATTTAAAAGTTATCCTTCCTGTCTGAGGATTGGACTACATGGCCATGACCCAGGATTGGACTACGTGGCCATGACCCAGTCAGCCAAATCAAATAGTAATTAGTACTACAGTTTTTCTGTTTTTTAAAACAATAATTCAACTGGCAATATAATCCCTGCTTTTAAGGTTGGTTCATCTTTGATATATATGCATTGCATAATCAATACACTAGCTACTAACAATAAAATCGCATTACCCTGATACGTGCTCTTGCAATTTCAACTCCTGTTGGCTCACCAGCTATGGATACCTACAATGCAAATAGTTCAACAATGAAAAAAAATTAGTTTTAGTTAAATTCAATAATGAAAGACCAAAGGGCACAGTGCTTGCTCAAGTCAATGTGTCTGTTATACATCAGCAGAATTTTTTTCTTTTATATACAGTATTGTGCCATCAGTGAACATCCAAGTTCAATTTCATTAGGCCAACACTTTTTTTTTATAACCATCGTTATATATGTCGATGGTTTAAATAGTCAAAAATTTCACAGCTTTGTATGCTCAATGATGTGTAGCACGATAATACCCCCATTACAGCACATTCTGTTAATCATGCCCCTTGGGTAATTAAACCAACACAGGTGTCAACACCTTTTTGTACATGTTTATATCCCTTTATCTGTCCATCTTCGCTAGCCAAGGGTTTCTGATACGCTACTCTCCTCATGAACCCTTGGCATACGGTGAAGTCAAAAGACAGGATTGTTTTCATCACGTGATCTCTAATCTATCAGGTATGCACAAACTGTGTCATCGACAGAAATGAAGACACGTGTTAAAAAAATTAAATCAAAGTTTTTTTTTCAAGAATAATTAAGAAGCAATAATTAAGTTACAATTATTTATTATTTATATTACAAATCTGAGGCTTCAATATAGATTCTTAAAATCACATATTTAGAAGATACTGGTTGACACCATAGCTATTCATAGAATTGCATGTTATCTTACGGATCGTTGTTTTTCATTCCCGAGATTAAAGAGTCAGGAAGTATCCTGAACGCAAATAACGTCATTTACAAAAAACGATTGCTGATTGGTCGACCGAGTGTACCGAATCCAAATCAGAACTAGAGGAAAAAACCCAAGTTTTATCAAAACCGTATGCCAAAAATCCTGGCTACTGATGAAGGAGGGGGGGGGGGGGGTGTACCAGCAATGTTCTTTTAATACCAGTTGCAAGCCAGTATATCGCCCTATAACTCCCAAACATCTGTTTTTTTCTTCTTCATCAAATTTTCAATGGCAAAATTTTAATTCAGCTTACACTGATCACCTCAACAAATGTTGTCTTTAAGTATGGAAAAGTCACACAATTACCCAACAAAAAGTGTACATCCAAAAATGCAAAATTTATGCAATTTTGATCTGATACTTTGAAATAAACCTATATAAAAACTTTAAACTAGTTCTTCATCACGAAAATGTGATTAAAATCCAGCATCTGAAGCAAGTTTGAGAGTTCTCATCCCTTGATGCATCATTTGGTCAAGTTTGATTTATATAAGCCTTATAGTTTCTTGGTAATAGACCTGCATCCATAACTTTTACCTGGTCCATTATCTTGAAAATGTATGTCGAATTCAGCATCTGGAGCAAGTCCATTAGTGTGCATCCTAAGATGTATCATCCATGCAAGTTTGCACAACATAGGGCTAATAGTTACTTAGGAATGAAACCTGCATAAAAATTTAACCTCTTCACTCATCCAGAAAAAATGTAGATCAGATTCAGCATCCAAAGCAAGTCTGGTAGTATGTATCCTAAGATGCATCATCCATGCAAGTTAAGTCATTATAAGGCTCATTGTAACTTAACCTGCACCAAAAACTTTTAGCATGTTCACTCATCCGGAAAATGTAGGTCAGATTCAGCATCTGAAGCAAGTTTGGTAGTATGCATCCTAAGATGTACCATCCATGCAAATTTGGTCATTACAGGGCTCATAGCATCTTGGAAATGAAACCTCCACCAAAAACTTGAACCTGTTCACTCAACCGGAAAATGAAGGTCAGATTCAGCATCCAAAGCAAGACTGGTAATGTGCATCCTTAGATGTATCATCCATGCAAGTTTGGTCAACATAGGGATTATAGTTACATGGAAATGAGACCTGCACCAAAAACATTAACCTGTTCACTCAACCAGAAAATGTTGGTCAGATTCAGCATCCGAAGCAAGTCTGGTAGTGTACTTCCTTAGATGTATCATCCATGTAAGTTTGGTAAACATAGGGCTTATAGTTACTTGCAAATTAGACCTGCACCAAAAACATTAACCTGTTCACTCAACCAAAAAATGTAGGTCAGATTCAGCATCCGAAGCAAGCCTGGTAATGTGCATCCTTAGATGTATCATCCTTGCAAGTTTGGTCAACATAGGGCTTACAGTTCCTTGGAAATGAGACATACAACAAAAACTGCACCAAAAAAGTTAACCTGCTCCAAACACTTAAACCTGGTCATTCCTTTGCTGAAATTGCAGCATCTGAGACTTTGACTGGTACAATGAAATACACTAGAAGTATCTTACATACATGTCTGAGAAATACAGGACATAGAAGTACTTAAAAAGAAAACTGCTCCAAAAAACTTAACCTTAACCTGGGACGCCGATGCCGCCACTGACACCAACGCCAAGGGTATTACATAAGCTCCCCCAACTTCATTGAGGTGAGCTAAATGTATTTCATGTAAATGTGTAACAGTTTATTATCATCTCTTTAATTACAGTGTCATATATAAGCTAAACCGATAGGCCATCATTTGTATAACTTTATTACTGTATAATGCATTTCACTATGATAATAAATCAATATGTTGTTGGCTTGCATATATATCGCGACTCAACAAAATTCACATATGAAATTAAAAAAAAAAATAAATAACAGATAAATTTCCCATGTTTTTATTGTTGGGGACTGAATAGGCATGGTTTTATCCTGAAAATATACAAATATGTTTTTTCGGGGCTTTGATTGGAAAATTGAACACTTACATTGTACTACAAATTATGTGTGCACAGGCAACAAAAGTTTTTGGCTAGAAGCTTTTTGCATATTGATACTTTTTACATTGATTCATTTTGACAAAACTTAAGCAGTTTAATATCACTTACGATATACATTATTCCTTTCATAGTATGTTTTATTAGTTTCTTCCAAGACATTACAAATAATTACAACATAATTCAGACTTATACAAGAAGCCCAAGGGTCCTGAATCACTCTTCTGATAAATTAAACAATCTATCCTAAAACCCAAGATACATCAACTGACAAAGATGGATGATTCTTAGCCAGTTAGGACTGAATATATTTCAATGTAACTATAAAATACTTTAAGAGGGTCATGCTGACCTACTTTTTGAGTGAAATTTTCTGAGGACATAAGATGCATTAATAGACAAAGATTGAAAAGTAAAAAGTACTTGAGACCCACAGTGACCTACTTGATGGTCATTATTCTCCAAAAACCCAACATGCATCAACTGACAAAGTTTGATAATGCTAAGCCAATAAGTACCTGAGAATACCTAAATATAGCCATAAAATGTCACAAGTAGGTCACCGTGACCTACTTTTCCATCATCATTCTCCAAAAACCCAAGATGCTTCAATTGACAAAGTTTGATGCTTCTAAGCCAATAGGTACCCAAAATACCTAAATATAGCTGTAAAATGTCGAAAGAAGGTCATGGTGACCAACTTTTTGGTTGACGTTCTCCAAAATCCAAGATGCATCTACAGACAAAGTTTGATGATTCTAAGCCAATAAGTACCTGAGATACTTAAATCTAGCCATAAACTAGAAAACTGACCAGTCAGCAAGGGCCCCGCCATGGGGTAGAATTAAAAGGGTGCAGCTTACAGAATGATTAATAAATGTACGAAGAATAAGCAACAGCAACTGTATACTTAAAAAATTTCAAGATAATTAATTCCTGAATATTCAAAAACCTGAAAATAATATCCTTGTATTTACGTTAGGCAGTAAAGAACAACTTAACATTGAATGTATATTTAAACAATTATGAAGCTTGTGTTATATAAAATGCCAGCCTTCAATGAATGCAAATATCATGAAGGCTTGACCTTAACTTCAAACAAACAGCAGTTGCAGACAAAGGTTTTCATTAATCTTAAAGTGACAGATAAAGAAAAGCCTACTAAATTTTCTGCAGCAGGCTAGATAATTAATCCCAAGGGATTAATTGCACCTCTCTCATGATTTTCTTCTAAATTTACAATAAGAACTTTTTCAGTATTAATGATAGAATGGGGTTTTTATACAACTACATTAAAAATTAATAATATTCTTTAAAAAAAAAGTGAAAAAAGTGAAAAAAAAGTAAATCAAAAAATCTTCTTTAATCTATTTCTTTTTTTTTTTTTAGAATTCAATGAAATCATAACTATCAAACAAAAATAAATAATAACAAGAGGCCCATGGGCCACATCGCTCACCTGAGCACCAAGGGTAGGACTAGTATAAAATGGCTTTTTATTGTAAAGTTTAAATCCAAAAGTAGTCCCATGACCAATCATGGATTTGCTATTTTTTAGAAAATGATTGAGAAGAAGATTTTTAAAGAATTTTCCTATATATTTCTATGTAAAATTTTGGTCAGCCATTTTGGCCCCGTCCTACCCCCGGGGGTCATGATTTGAACAAACTTGAATCTACACAACCTGAACATGCTTCCATATAAATATGATGAATAATGGCTTTGTCATTCTTGAGAAGAAGATTTTTAAAGAATTTTCCTATATATCTCTATGTAAAACCTTGGTCGGCCATTTTGCCCCCGCCCTACCCCCGGGGGTCATGATTTGAACAAACTTGAATCTACACTACCTGAGCATGCTTCCATATAAATATGATGAATTATGGCTTTGTCATTCTTGAGAAGAAGATTTTTAAAGAATTTTCCTATATATTTCTATGTAAAACATTGGTCGGCCATTTTGGCCCCGCTCTACCCCCGGGGGTCATGATTTGAACAAACTTGAATCTACACTACCTGAGCATGCTTCCATATAAATATGATGAATTATGGCTTTGTCATTCTTGAGAAGAAGATTTTTAAAGAATTTTCCTATATATTTCTATGTAAAACTTTGGTCGGCCATTTTGGCCCCGCCCTACCCCCGGGGGTCATGATTTGAACAAACTTGAATCTACACTACCTGAGCATGCTTCCATAAAATATGATGAATTATGGCTTTGTCATTCTTGAGAAGAAGATT